CTTCTTCTTCTTCTTCTTCTTCTTCCTCTGCTGCTGCTGCATCTACTTCTGCTGCTGCTTCTTCCTCCTCTTCTTCCTCCTCCTCCTCTTTTTCCTCTTCTTCCTCTTTTTCTCCTTCTCCTTCTCCTCCTTCTCCTTCTCCTCCTCCTCCTCCTCCTTCTCCTTCTCCTTCTCCTTCTCCTTCTTCTTCTTCCTTTCTTCTTCTTCTTCTTCAATTACACATATGAAAATAAACGTAAAATACTTGCCTTTTGAAACAGGGTCTCTCTGCATAGCCAAGGTGGACTAGAATCCATGATCCTTTGCCTTAACCTCCCAAGACTAGAATAATAGTTGTGCAGTACCACTAACCGATCTATTTCTAAGTAGATTATAAAATACTTTTAAATATGAGGCAGCAAATAGAGTAATTTTCATTTGAATACAAAGAACCATATTGTAACAAGAAATGAAAACTCATGTAAAATTGAGCTATCAATTTTTAACCAAATGTAGATAGTTCTAATGATTTTTGAGATGTTTTTTATATAGTTTAGATTCCTTTCTTGACAAATTATAGTTACTAGAACCAGGATTAATTAGGATTGTCAGAAGCAGAAAAATATAACTTAATACATTTGTCAGAGAATTTTGCTGAAGCACTTTGTGAGGCTGAATAATCCCCAGAGAGAAAACTGGGCATGAGGAGATGACACCTGACTTTCCAGTCTTCAGTGGAGCGCATGGTTTCCCCCTCCCACTCCCTGGAGAGGCACCAGAGTGCAGGCTGTAAAATGGGTTGCTTAGGATGAAATAGGGACAAAATGTAAATCAAGGCATATAGTCCAGATTATTGGATATGAAAAATTATCCCACTAGAAATGTGCTTTTAAAATTGTACTTACTTGATGAATAAAAGAGAAATAAAACTTAAGTGATGTTCAAAACACAATACAGCATTTTATGAGAATTTTTGTCATATACTATAGGCCAGGAATGGTGAAAACAAATAGTATTTTCTGTTTGTTTCAGCATTGGGGATTGAACTGAGAGTTGTCCTTGAAAGCAAACAAAGGTTTGGGACTTATTTAAAGGTATACTATAAGGACCGAAATTAGTGGGTCAGATAGTTGGCAGAGAAAATGCTACTAAGACCAAAGGCAAGGGTGCTTGTTTATTTAATAGTCATGCATGAATCTATCTAGTTTCTGAAGAGCTGTATTAGATGGAGATGGTATATACATCAAAGTCTAAAAAAAATCTTCCAAAAGAAACAAAATGGTAAAATTTGAAAGTGAACAATTAATGACATTTCCTATATGAGTATGTTTCCGGTGTTAATCTATGTGTTGAAACTAGATACATTAGAGATATCATTTAAATAGACACAACAATATTTTTCATTCTTTCAACAATTAGATACTATCAGGTTTGTATTTAGTGAAGGGATGTGTAAAATTTCCTAATACTTGCTGCCCTCTAGTGATCAAATGTTTGAATGATTACCTGACCAACACAAGCCCAATCTAGCTGTGTGAGTGCATACATGCATATATTTAACTGAACAGATTTGTTTATATGTTAACTGCCTCACAAATGAAACTAGAAGCCATTTCAAATGTTAATCTATTGCACAAGAAGGTACAAAGTGTGGGGGAAATAAGAGATTCCTCCAAAATCTAGTTCTCTGAGAAAAAAAGTGCACTCGAAACCAAACATTTAAATGTCATTAATTGCATTCAACTTATGAGTTCTTGGGGTCTTGCTAAAATTATTGTGAATCTTTTAAGAGGTTGATATGCTGATTATTTCCCAATCTTGTTTGATCTTGACCCTTTTATTGTGAAGCATGCTCTGAGCTAAATATCTAGAATGAATTAGGTAGTAACTTGGATTTTAAAAAATATAAACTAATTCGGGCAATAGTGGCCCAAATTAGTAATGCTAACAACTTAGGGGTCTAAAATTTGGAGAATTTCAATTTGAGGATACTCCAGACAGAGAAATTAACTGGACCCCATCTCTAAAATAACAAGCAAAACACTGGACTGGAGGTTTTGCTCAAGTGGTAGAGCACCAGCCTGACAAATAAGCAAATAAATAAGTAAGTGTGAGTCCCTGAGTTCAAAATCCTGGTACTAGCAAAGGAAGGAAGGAAGGAAGGAAGGAAGGAAGGAAGGAAGGAAGGAAGGAAGGAAGGAAGGAAGGAAGGAAGGCAGGCAGGCTGGTTTTAAAACTGTTTTAGCGATTCACCAAAATTCACAACAAAATATGTCATTAACTCTCTAAAGGAAACATTCTTACCATCTGGAGGAGTAAATACAGAAAGATTTGACTTGGGTCCAATTCCTGCACTGGTTTCTGCCCCAACATAAACATCATACATTGTAAATGGTGTTAGGTTGGTGAATGCAAATTTAAGATCTTTTGTGCTATTATCCAAAATCTGACCTACAAAATAAAAAGAAGATATCTTCAGATAATTTTTTTTACAATGACCAGTTAGGCTATGTACTAAAATTAATTATGAGTGAATTATTTAGGGTATTTCATTAAATAATAACTGATACCAATTTAATTAAAACAATATAAAATATTTTAGCATTTAATATTTCTTTTATTGAATCATACAGTCCTGTTGAATTACCATATTATTTTGATGTATGTAAAAAGAAAACTCCAGATTTTACCAGTATAAAAGTAGGAGGGCTGGGAAGGTGGCTCAGTGGTAGAGTGCTTGCCTTGCATGCCAGAGGCCCTGGGTTCCATTCCTCAGCACCACATACGCAAAAAGAAAAAAGCCGGAAGTGGCGCTGTGGCTCAAGTGGTAGAGTGCTAGCCTTGAGCTGGAGAGCTGAGGGACAGTGCCCAGGGCCAGAGTTCAGGCCCCACAACCGGACCCCCCCCCCAAAAAAAGTAGAAACTGTCTGGTGCCTGTGCCTCATGCCTGTAATCTTAGCTGAGATCTGAGATCTGAGTCTGAGATCTGAGGATCAAGGTTCAAAGCCAACCCAGGCAGGAAAGTCTGTGAAACTTTTATCTCCAATTAACCACCATAAAATGAGAGATGGCACTGTGGCTCAAAGTGGTAGAGTAATATCTTGAGCTGAAGAGCTCAGTGACAGCACCCAGGACCAGAGCTCAAGCCCCACCATTGACAAAAGAAAGAAATAGTAACAGTATCTTATCTCAAATTTATTCTACCAAAATGCTAAATGTTCTCATTTTCTGTAAGAACATGTACTTAGAAAATATTTCTAATTTAGCTTCTGAACACAATTCTTCAAGTAAGCTACTAACAAAATTCTTTGAATCCACAATTTTGGCACAGAATATTTCCTTCACCTTGGAGCTTTAATTGAATCCTGGCTCTCTTCTAGGAACACAGCCACCACAAGCAGCTGGCAAGTTATGCAGCCTTCCAGCACTAGGAGGATTCCCCTTGCTCCTCCTGCCCCAGTCTGGACAATTTTCCATGCCTCCTCACCAAGCCTGCAGCTTTAAATCCTAGGACACCAACTAGCCCTCCAGGTCACCGCCACCACATTCTGGACAGCTCAGCTCTGTACCAGTCAATGCTACCATTTTCTTTAAATAATCTCCTTCTCTGCCTTATTTCAGACACTCCTTCCTATATCATAAATCACTATTACTAATAACTACAAACCATCTATCTTTTCAAGTTCTCACACTTGTATAATGCCTCTTTTCCTTAACTATACTTCAATTGCTCCAGAACTGAAAACAACTCTTTCCAGTCTACTGGAAATTCCAATTCATTCATCTTATTATTTTATTTTTACCTTATTTTCTTTGACCTCTTACTACTTGCTGTTTACTATGTACACAATTTCAATGTCATTGTCAGTAATTAGCTGCTTGGTTAAGCCTTCAATTCCCCCTGAACTTCCTATAGAAGGGAGCTATAGAAAAGTACTGTGAACCCAATTGACATGACTTTAAGTAAAATTAAATGCTCATCCTATTATTTATCTCTTTTCCTCATTCATTTCACCAAACATAAATAAAATTTCACCAAAAATAAACCTTTGGCTCTACTACTTAACCCCATACTTAGTGCACCTCCTTTCAGGTTGTGTGTATATTTGTGTGTGTGTGTGTGTGTGTGTGTGTTTTCAGCCAAATTCAAGGGTTGTTTATATCCAATCTTCCAGTTTTCCTCCCTAAGTTTCCCTTATACCATGCCAATAATGATTACCATACATCTATACCCCATTGTAAACCATCTCCTTCCAAGTTAAGTCATGATTTCAGGTTGTTAAGTACAGTGGTAACTAAATGTGTCTTAACTTGATCAAACGCTATGACAAAAGAAAATTTACCTCAAGGAAGTCTTGAAAATAATAATCAGATAGAAAAGCAGTATCTATGTATCCCTGTCTGTTTTTGTGTAGGGGGTGGGGTGGGTGGCTAGAGAGGATCATCATTTTTAGGGACTGCACATATTTCAGAATTTGAGGAACATGAGCTATTCATGAATAATGGTTACCTGTGTGTGATTCATAGCATAGAAATTACAAAAGAGAATGTCTTAGAATTTCAAATCTTTTTCAATTTTTCAACTAAATGACAATGTGTTTATGCTATTTCATCATTGCTTGAATTAAACTTCTTTCACAGAACCACAAAATTTCAGATCAAAAGAGAACTCTTACAGCTGATTTAATTTGCTTCCTATAATACTTGAAGCTCTTAAATAATCTGACAAGTGAATGCTCCAGTTATCCTTTAAAAAGAAAGAATTTGTCACTTTATAAAGCTGCCTATCTTGTTATTTTAATAGGGTTTATTTTCAGAATAGTTTTATGTTCACAGTAAAATTGTACAGAAGATCCAGAAATTTTCTTTCTTATTTCCCAGAGAGGTCTGATGTTCAAAATGAACTCTGTTCTAAATAGATATTCGATGTAGACTAATCTAAACCCATTGTTCTGTAAGCCAAGGTCTTCTGGTTCAAATATTTGAAGGTGCATATCACTTTTTACAGTTTTCATGAGGATTTCTAAATAGAGAACATGAATAGTTTTCTTATTCATTTATGGTTTCAAACAAATGATCCAAATGACCTCATCTTCCTAATTACTTCCTTTAACTTACCCAAATTTTAGAATCCTTACCAAAAAAAAAAAAGAGTGTGATGTTTTCAAGATTTGAAAATAGTAAGAAGCAATTCTTGTTCCAAAAGGTGAATGCAAAAGACTTACCTGACGGTCCATATAATTCCACTCTATAACTGAACTTGCCCGTCACTATATTTGGTGGGTCCCATGAAATTGTAAAGGATTTTCCTGTGACGTTGCCTGTTATACAATTTTGTGGTGGTCCTTCTGGAACTAAAATGATTTCACAGAAAATTGTATATAGGATATTTATTTAAAATAAGGAATATAAAGTTAAAGAGAAAATACCACACTGAAACCAAAGGTTTATAAGAATCACATAAAAGTAACACTGTAAGAGTGCTGAAGTATGAAAATAACTCTAGGTGGGATGGTTGTTTAAAAAAGAAAACAGTTGCTGAGAGGTAAAGAGGATTAATAAAATAATCTATAAAGACAAAATGAAAGAGTTTATATAAATAATTTATATCCTCATTTATAACAAAAATGCAATCATACCTGATTCTGGTGTTCTGACAATAGTACTATCAATATAGCCTGCTTCCGTGGTAACAGCCGAAACTTCAAAAAGATACGTGGTGTAAGGTCTCAAATGTGTTACTACAAAACTTATAGGCTCTTTCCACACAGAGCTGATCTTACTCCGTGCCAGTGTGTTTGGGGAGTATGTGGTTCTCAGTGGAGGCGTAACTCTAGCAAGTGTTGGAGAAGGACTGGTGGTACTCCATAGAAATGATTCACTGTTCTCCTAGTGAATGAAACAAACATCAGCGGAAAAACAATGTGCTATCTTTTGATAAAACAAGAAATGTAACTCATTTATTTTTCCTTATGCTATAAGGAAATAATTGTTGCTATAAGAAAAAAGAAATGCTATTACTCTTCCATGTGTGTTTCTGTGTATGTGTGTACATGCTAATGAATAAGATTTCAACAGACTACGCTATAAATAAATTTGTCACATTGTAATTATATCTACTTATGACCATACTTTTCTCAAAGAGTACATGAACAGCATACTTTACATTTTAATCTTCCCTATAGACACAATTTAAAGTGATTTCTAGTGAAGATAAAACCACTGCAAAATTGTTAATAAGAAAGGCTTTAATGAGTTTAAAGAGTTTTTTTTTAATTTAAAGGCTTAGATGATTTTAATCATAGGCAATTTTCTGTTGCACTTTTTTTTAATCTTAAGTACTGAAAAGATAATAGCACAGTCTTGAGGCATGGCTCAGTGATCCCATGTTTGTCAGTATGCATGAGGTCCTGGTTCAATTTCCAGCACCATTAAAAGAAAAAGATAATGCTGCTAGCACGTCATTAGATATGGGAATATGTGCATATGAATTTGAATATAATCAAAACATACCTCCTTGAGAAAAGATGATGCCACTGTCATTGTTATAATCCTTGCCAAGGCTTCCTATCCATGACTAGAGTGACAACAAATTCTCCACAACTTCGTACTTGACTACTTACTCCCCAAGTGTGCCCTCTCCTCCTGTCTCACAGAAATATAGCCTTTCCTCCAGGAAGATCTTACATATTTTTCCATCTCAAGGTTTTATAAAGTGTTCTATACCTGGAACACAAATGCTTTCATCATAAAATCTTCATCTATCCTTCCTCTGGGGCTGATCCAAGGCCTACCTATTGTGAGAGGTCTTTCTAAAACTCCATAAAGGATAATCCCCAGCACTACAAGTCATATGCCCTAAATATACCCCCTTGTGTAGAGTATGATACTAAGGCCTGATAGTAGAAGTATAAGATAAGGTAACTAATAACCACATTGGGTAAAACATGCAATGTAGAGGGGCTAATAATTTGCCTAACATTTCTGAGACATGGCAAGTGGTTCAGGGCACTTACATTACATTCTGGCAACTTCCCAGTCAAAATGTCCTCCACTCTGATTGAGACATCTTTCACTACTATCCCACTTCTGGCATGTTTGACACTAATCTTGAAGCTGGTAATTTTGCCATTTGGTTGCCGAGGTAAATACCAAATCAAGTTGACTGCTGAATAGTTAAAAGCCTCAACTGTGAGATTGACTACTTTTCCTGGAGCTGGGGAAATGAAAGATTGACAGAAAAAATAAACAAGTTATGAAACCAAGAATGGTATTTATATATCATTGGGAAATCCAATTGCCATGTTATAGGGCACTAAACATAGCAAATATTGTGGATAAAATCTAGCTCAATGTAACTTCTAAAAATAAACTGAAATGGAAGCAAAAAATCAAATACTGAAAGATTATAGGACAAAGATGAGCATTAATGAAGATTTCAAATAGTTATAAAGCCAGGCATCATGGGACACATCCATAATTCTTGCATATGGGAAGCTAAAGCAAAAAAAAATTGAATTCTAGGTCAGATTGGACTACATAGTAAATCCCTGTCTCAAAAAACGTCAGTTGATAGTTCACAAACAAGTTAGGACAAATTTATTACCTCCTTAAATACTTAAAATTGTGTAAACTCCCTAGATACTGCATAAATGTAAAAGACCAAAATGATTATCCAACAATTTATACCAAAAACATGCATTTCTAGAAATTTTGTGCCTACTGTAAAGCAGATACTCAGGCAATCACCAGATTGTGAATACTGTATTTTGATATTTATAGCTTTCTTCAGAATTTCATTCTTTTCTATCAATTATTTATTATCTATGATAATAATGATAATAATACCCTGAATGCTATTTGAGTTGGAATGAGAGCAATATGAAGCCACATGAAGAAAAATTAATGTCATTATCTTATGGTAAAACAAAACTAATATAGGAAGATACTCTAGAACTTAGAAAATGACAAGTCAATTTGAAGTTTTGTTTGCTTCTTTTTGTACTTTTGGTTTGCTTTGAGACAGAATCTCCCCCTATCTCCAACTGGCTTTACTTCATAAGATAGCTCAGGTTAGCCTCAAGCTTGAAATCCTTCTGTCTCTTCCACTGACAAGTCATTTTGGAAAACAATCAGAAGATAAAATACTTTAGGCAAAGTAATATATGATGATCAGAGTGACCAGTATTAAGATGCCAAATGTCTAGAGTTTACATTATATTTAAAAATGCCAATTTTATTTGTGAAGAAAATCCACATAAATTATGAGAAATTAGACACTGGGAGGGGGGCTCTATGTGAATGATATATGTTAGATAGGAGTAACTCAGAAATTTTAAGCCTGAAACATTTTAATGGAAAAAATTGAAATTCAATTATTACTGGGAATGATTACAAATGGATGAAATAGTGGGTGGAAATTTTCTCCATGGGAATTGGTAAAATGGAATTAAAGATTAAGAAATATAATTACAATACAGTAATTCTATGATACAAAAGATTTAGCCCTCAATTTCTTTAGAGTAGATAAAATGGAATAAAACAAATGGAAAATGTTATGCATATAATACTGTGCAATGATAAAATTAAAATTTTTATCGTGAATATTAATCATCTTTTAAATTTTCTTATTTATATAGTCCATATATATTTTAAGTACTCTAGAAGTATTTATACATCAATAATATATACCATACTAGCCATATTTCCAAATGGAAGTTAGCAATCCTAAAGAGCTAATCAAATGCAGAGAAATGTGGGATTTATAGGTCACATTTTTAGTGGATTGTGAAGCAAAATTTCTAAAGGAATAAATCATAAATATTATCATTTAAATTTGCTAAGCAACATTACTTAAGGAAGATTATTTGTACTATCTTGTGTTTTTTTTTTTTGTATATCTTCTTTTTTTGTGATCCCATAGTACTTGACATCTGACTTTGGCTCTTCTCTGTGCAGTGTTAAATAATCTATTTTCAATTTCTTGATTGTATGCACCAGAATGTCATTAGTTTTTGATATTTCCTGGAGTGTACTTATCCATCTTGATTCAATTAGAATCATTAATGAGCTAGACCCAGGTTGCTTGTTGCCTGTAATCCTAGCTACTCAGGAGGCTGAGATCCAGAGAATAGCAGTTTGAAGCCAGCCTGAGCAAAAATGTCCATGAGACTCTGTCTCAAAAATAACTAGGGAAAGCCAGGCAAGAATCATAGCTCAAGCCGGGCGCCGGAGGCTCACACCTGTAATCCTAGATATTCAGGAGGCTGAGATCCGAAGTTCTCAGTTCAAAGCCAGCCTGGGCAGGAAAATCTGTGAGACTCTTATCTCCAATAAACCACTAGAAAACCGGAAGTGGCACTGTGGCTCAAGCGGTAGAGCACTCGCTGTGAGCTGAAGAGCACAGGGAACCAGTGCCCAAGTCCAGAGTTCAAGCCCCACGACCGACCAAAAAAAAAAGAATTATGGCATGGCTCAAGTAGTAGAGAGCCAGTCTAGCAAGCAAAGAAAGTGAGCACAATGCCCTCAGTTCAAGCACCAATTATGTGGTGTTTAAAAAAAAAAAGAGCAAAAATACATTTAATAATGGAGTACCAAAAATTCTGTTTTTAACCATTCATATGGATATCTTTACACATATTTGGAGAATATGTATAAATAGAGACATGTACAAATACATAAGCATATAAAAATACAGACAAGCTTATATCAGAACAAATGTATCACTGTTGATATAATAATACAAGCACACATTTTCAAGCCATTAAGAAATTTACAAATCTGAAACAAAGACTATCAGAGGCTTGTTTATCTGTGTGTGTGTGTGTGTGTGTGTGTGTGTTGTATTTATATTTTAGTTAGACTATACACATTCTCAAGCCAGTCTGGAACTCATTAGGTAACCCAAGGTGGCCTCAAACTTTAGATCCTCCTGCCTCTGCCTCTGCCAAATCACTCTGGAAAGAAATCACGACAAAATAAAATGTCTGAGGTAAAACAATACGCGACTAAATGTGACTAGGGTTAACAGACCAAAGAGTTAGACTTTATATTTTTTGTATTCATGTTACACCATTTTTAATGTTTTACAATCTAAAATAAATTGTATGTTTACCTGAAATATGCTGCATGGGACATTAAGCACTGAGCTTTGTGTATGTGTGAATAGAATAACATTAATTCAGTATATTAGCACTGATTAATTTGTGTACATTTTCAGGAGTATTTACATTCATACAAATTACTCCCAATTAAACAATTATTAATGAAGTTTATTACATAGGAATCTTCCTTAAGTTTGGGTTTAAAGAACAAAAGTAATAAAATATATACTTGGGAGAAAATATTAGAGATCACTAAACTAATTGAACTTATTCATATTTATATTTTATATTTATATTATTTATATTTATATATCCAATTAGTTCAAAGTATAGCAAGTCAGACACAGACTCCCCTCAGTACTGTTAGCACGAATTCTGGAGTTTCTCTCTTTTGTCCGATTAACTCAAGAGAGTTAATGATGAAAATTAGTAGCTCTAGAAATTAGATCACTTGGTGGAAATATAAAATACAGGAAATTCAAAGCTCTGTCACATTGAACTCATGATCTGTATGTATCGTCTTTTGTCACAAGGCAATGTTAAGAAAAAATTAAAACTATGTTTGAATGGGCTAACATTTACAATAAAACTTAAGCAAATGAACATGTAACAAGTCAAATTGGTCCAATGAAGAAAAAAAAAACTTATTGAAAATAGTAATGGGAAGGAAGAAGTAGACACTATGACTTCTCGTTTATAGGGAGAGTAGGCTACAGGCAGGCAAGCTTTTCGTCTTCAAGCATGAAATGCAAAGGGGTTGAACAGGGTGAAAGGGGTAGGGGTGGGATTCAGGACAAATTCTGATCATCATACCGGTAAGGGTTTCTGATGGCATAGAGGTAAACTGTGAGAGGAGTCATGGAAAACTTCAAGACTTTTTCTCCTAGTCACCAAAAGTCAGGCCATGCTTACACTGGTTTGGTCATAACTACATAGAGTGGAATGACAGGATAACCATAAAGATCTCTGTTTTTCAAAACTCTAACTTCACAAAATGTTCATAATGTGATGTCAAAAACTTGAAGGCAGGATACAGACTTAATATACATGAGATAAATTTGTTTTCATTAATGAAGTCAATAGATTCATCCTCAGAGGGAAAGAGACTAGCTGCCAAAAGAACGCACCAAAACATTAATAGAGGTGTTTTACATGATATACCTGGATAATTTTAACTGTATGGTTTTTAGTCTTAATTTTCAACGTTTTCTAATATTTAACAACTTTTGGAATCAGAGAGAATAGTATTCAATTTAATTAACTATCTGCAGAGTAAAAGGAACAGGGCAGCCATGCTCAGAAGAATTTTATTCATCTTAGAGTTGGTGTTCTTTGGATTCCATTCCTATTTATTTAAATTAACAAAAACTCACAACTATGTTAACTTAGCATAAACAGTGTAGGGAAATTACCACTTTCTGCAGTTTGGAAAAGAAATGGGTCACTGAAAACTCCAATGCCAGCGCTGTTTTCAGCAGCAACCTAAAAGAGAACAAAAACATTAAACTTTTTGCTCCTGAAATTGAAATAATAACTTTGATATGTCCATATAATATATACTAAAGTGCTTTTTCCTCTAAATTTTAACAACACTCCTAAGGTAGATAGCAATAATAACATTATCCACAAAACAAAATAGGAGATAATCTGCTTAACAATTTGTAGATGAATAACTTCATTAAAGGAGTCCAAAATATTTGCCTCCAGTCACAAGCAAATCATGGTAAAACATGAATTCAGTTGAAGTACTTGTTCCAAAGCTCAACCTTTTCCCTTTATATCCACTCATAGAAGAAATTATTATTGTTTTCCTAACAAATATAGGACTTGGTATTATGGTTTGGGGTTTAGAATTGACATTCTAAGGGTAAATAAATATTCAGAAGAATGAATTGTAAAAAGTAACTAGACTTGATTAATAATTCAGACTACATAGTCTACATTTAAAGCCATGTAGATTATTTTTGGACCTGAACAATATAGTGAAATAATCTGTACTAGGCAGAGAAAACGCCATGAGAAGAATAAGACCCTCAAGCATTAACAAAATACCATGACTGAAAATTAAACCAATGTTGGTTTAATTGTAATTCTACCAAGTTCCAAGTAACTTACTTGTGCCTACTTAACTCTTCTAAAACACATTTTCATTTTCTTTCAATGGGAATAGTGATACACCTATGCAAGAGATCGCTCTGAGGCTAAATGAAATAAATATGTAAAATACTTAGCAGGATCTCCTTGCAGGGCTACTTATATTGAAGATATCATATATACCATACCAAATACCTTTTGTAATTCTGCAATCACTAACATTTATTTGAACACAATAATGATTGATAAAGTGTGAGATAAATCAGATAATAAAGGCTTCCAATATGCCTGAAATAAGAGAATTCAAAGGAAGAAAATTCCAAAGTCCATAAAAATAGATCTAAGCAGAAATATAGTGTTTAAAATTCCCTTCCACTTAGCATTATATCACATTAAATGTAATTCTTATTTATTATACCCAGTAATAATTACACCTGTATATGTTCATGTTAACAGAAAATATCTATATTAGGTAATTTTCACATTTAAAAAGGGGTTGTCTTATTTTAGTTGTTGTTTTGGGGTTTTTGTTTGTTTTTTGGTTGCGGGGCTCTGTTCCTGACCTTTTTGCTCAAGTTTAGTGGTCCACCACTTTGAGCCACAATGCCACTTCTGGTTTTCTAGTTGTTAATTGGAGATAAGTGTCTCACAGACTTTCCTGCTTGCACTGGCTTAAAACCATGATCCTCAGATCTCAGCATCCTAAGTAGCTAGGATTACAGGTGTGAGATACAGGTACGGATCTAATTTTTAACTTACGTTTGTGTATGAAGTAACTATCATACATTTTTTTTGTTTCAACTTCCCCCTAAAAATGTACTTTCTTTTGGGAGAACCCTAATGTTGGTGTATGCTATCCAGTGTTTTTCCTTTAAGTCCACAAATAGTTACTTCCAGGAAGGAAAACTGCTGGTCACATCTGTAGACAACTTTCACAGGTTTTCTCTATAGTCAAGTAACTCCAAGGCTTATAGAAAATAGATGTTATTGAAAATAGCAAGGAGCCAGAAGATGATCTCTACTATGCCTTGAAAATATTATGATTATTCTTTAAGTGTAAATATTCTCATATATTCATATAAGCTCTTTTTTTAGTAATGAAAAAGAACAATGTTGACAATTGCATATTGAACATTGTAAATGTCTAAGCAATTCTTTGCTTTTAAAATCACATTGAGTCATATTTGTAGTCCACTTTGAGCCATGCCTCTAGCCATTTTTGCTCTGGTTATTTTTTAATTAATTTTTTTATTGTGAAAATACTGTACAAGGGGTTACAGTTACATGATCGAGGTAACGAGTACATTTCTTATCCAGTATTGTTGCCTCTTCCTTTGTTTTCCCCCTACCATCCCTTCCCTACCACCTCTTCAGCTACACCCTGCCCCCCCCCACTGCCCGGCCCAAGCTAAATTGTAAAGTTCATTTTTCAACATAGCGTCTTGTACATCTCATTGTTACAATGAGTCAACCTGTAATCCTATTTAAACAATTTTTTCCCTTCCACTCCCCAAATTATACCAACACCAAATACAGTGAAAGCAGGGGTTATAATGTGGGGGAGAGACATACAAAGCAACAAAAAAAATCACATTGTACTTTATAAATACTAGAAACAATAGCAAGGAAGAAAAAACCACTTGTGTCCCTATCTTGGGGTTCATTTCACTTAACATCATCTTATCTGACCTTTTTTGCTTGTCCCAGAGATAAACCAGTTATTGCAAATAAGGGAAACCATGAGACCTATGTTTCTTTGGGCCTGGCTTACTTCACTTAATATAATTTTCTCCAGGTCTTTCCATTTCCTAACAAATGGGGCAATGCCATTCTTTCTGATGGAGGCATAGAATTCCATTGTGTATATGCTCTGATTATTTTTAAAATATGGTTTTCCTAATCTTTTGAGGGTCTACTGCCATGATCCTTCTATATACGCTTTCTGACATAGATGGTATGACAGACGTGTACAATTTCACCAGCTTTTTCATTTGAGACAAAGTCTCACAAATTGTTTTGCCTAGGCTGGCTTGGAACTGAGATCCTCTCAATCTCAGTCTTCCACATAGCTAAGATGACACACGTGAACCACCATGTCTAGCTTCTAGAATAATTTTTATAAATATTAAAGGCGATAAACAAATACTTGTTTAATTGAACTGAATGGAATTTATTATTCTCAGTAAAATTGGCTCTTCAGAAGTTTTAAAACCATATAATATTTTAATAGCATGCAAATACAACAGGGTTAAGGAAACAAGTAACAAAGCTAACTTTAATTTTAACCAAAAAGTAGAATGTTTAGCATAGGCTATATCTCAGTGGTAGAGAACTTGCCTAGCATATAGAAGTCAGTGGATTCAATTATTAAGACTTCCAAAATATGGCAGAATTTTCATTCAAAAACTTGTATTATTTAATTCAAGCTTAATTTATTCTCTGTAAACCACACCAAGGGAAATAGTGCATACATGTACATATAAATTGAAATGAAGAGAGACTGAAACATTTCACCCACTTTGAAAATGCCAGGTAGGTGCTAGATAGTGATCAATTTATCCATCTTCTACTACAGACTGAATTTAGTTTCAAGTCTTGACCCCTCCCTCAATTTGAAAATAGATGAAATACTTTAGTAGGAAGCAGTTACATCACAATTACCTTAATTTCATAGGTGGTTCCAGGATTAAGATTGGTGAGAAGAACTTCCAGACTGTCTGGTTTTGCTCTCACTTGTGTGTATATTGTCTGCATCCATGGACACACTTCTTTATATTTAACAATGTAAGACAGAATCCTTCCATTCGGGTTTGGCGGTGTGTTCCAAGAAAGAAGAATCCCAGCAGATCCAACTCTTTCTCCTGCTAGGAAGACTGGAGGCCCTGGCTCTATTTTGTAAAATAAAATAATAATAATTTTTTCTTTTTTGTTAAAAGATCAAATAATTCTTGTATTCCCAAAAAGATCTGAGAAACATATTTACAAAGGCAAATTTTCAAAATTCCTAAAAATGAATGTAAGTTTGTACTCCCCAGTGCGCTGTTACAAAATAAATGAATAAATGAACAAAAAAGGTAGCTTGTAGAATACCAAAAACATTCTTTTATAAGAGTATAAAAAATGGAATGCTGTTAAGTATACATGCCAAATATATTTTGGATGCCAAATCATGTTTAAAGAAACTTAGTAAAAGCCTTACACATAGGAATTAAGTAAACAAGAAACAGCTTCACAAAGTGGATAATCTTTTCTGAGCAAGTAAACAGTTGAGTTTATTTTCTTGGCTTGATATTATTTAAATCTTACAATTAGCAGTCTCTCTGAACCCTTTTACAAAAAAAAATTAAGAGCAGTTATCTTTGTGCTTTAAAAGCCAGGAAGCTAAAGAACAAGTAGAAAGCAGGGTCCAAAGGGATCACTTTCTTAAGTTTCCATGTGGCTTTAATTATTCTAAACTGTTTTCATACACATTGCCAATACAAGTATTTCTGTGCAATGACTACTAACTCCAAATACTTAATGAAAAGTAATTTAAGTCATATACTTACTTGTTATATTTGTTGCCACTGTCCTAACAGGTGAGCTATATGTTGTAGCAGAAATTGGAGAGATAGTTACCTCATACCGTGTCCCAGGAATAGCATTGGAAACATCAACCTAGAATATCAAGAACAAACAATTACATTAGAACTATTCCTAAAAGACAAACTACAATCATACTTCTATCATTATATAAAAGATGGACATATCACTACATAATTGCACTGTTTAAAATATTACCAAACCACATTTTTACAAAACATAATCTTGTTATATAATGGTTTACCAAAGAATTGATAAAATTAAAAACAATAACTCACTAAATATTCTATACTATTCAAACCTAAATCAGTAAGTCTGTCTATCCCAGTTCTTTGTTACAAACAATTACTTAAGACTTTAAAACATCTACAGCCTGTGCTTAGCCATTGTTTTTTAAGAGTACATGTAAAATACCTGTGTCTCTGAAGTTCCAATAAAAGATAAAAGAAAAATAATAAGAAAATCCATCATTATTACATTTTTCAGGCAGTAGAATCACATTGATGGCTCTAAAGAGAAATGTTGCCTGCATTAATGATTTAAAGACAGATCCTCCTGGCAAGTACACAATTAATGAGCCTGGATTACTCAATAGCTCTGCCCTTTCTTTGTTAAACTATTCATGAACTCTTGGATGGCTGGCTGCAGGTTCAGAGTAGAGTTAAAAACAAAAAAAGCATAGGCATTGCTAAGACAACAGTCCGCCAATGTTGAAACTTATACTCATCAATTCAACATCAATGTTTTTGTCTTCATTTTATGCTTAAAGAGAAATCCCTTCCAGGAGTTTTCATAGCACATAAGTTTCATAAAGAACTTTCCTTCTAAGACCTAATATAAACACAGCAGGCTGGCAAAGTACAATGATGAAAACTATACTTGATATTCTCCACCTCCAAGATCTTTGATAGTAACAAAGCCAGTGTCAGGAACAAGATCCACATGATACCCATCCACATGGCCGGAGGGCAGGCTCCAGTGCAAAGAAAAGGAATGTGAAGAAATACTGACACCTTTAAGCCTCTTCGCTCTTTCCAGTTCTGATACTGAAAAAATTAAGGTTGAAAATAGTTATTCTCTGAAGGTTCAAAAAACAGAAATAAAAATCAACAGTTCTAATACTCAGAGTTCAAAATGATCAAATTGCTAGAAAGCAGTGAGTCCTAAAAATGATCTCTGATTATAAATGGGTATTAAGCAAATACATCTCTAATAATATGTACTTTAGAAATATGATTATAGAAATAATATATCAATTTATGCATTTACTTCAGGGATAGTTCTTACTTCCTAAAATATGTTGGTTTACTAGATGATTTTTGAAAATCTATGTTCTAATTGAAAATATAAATACTTTTAAAGCAAAATAAACTATCCAATTAACTGAATGATTTACCAAAGAAGATAATTGGGAAAACATGACCAAACTCCACCAATTTTTTGTTATTATTATCTTTAAGTAGATGTTGCCATTTAACAAAGCAGTTTATGAATACATCTTGAACAATGACACCCTTTTCAACATCTTCACCCATCCTTTCCCTACACACCCCTTCCCTTACTCTTCTTAATTCTGTAGGATATACATTGAACTCTTAACTGCTCCTCTTCACCTCTTCATTTGTCCACTCCTATCTTCTTGACCCCAACCCACCTCTTTCCAGTACCCACTTCCTGGTGTTTTATTTTGATTAACTTTGACTTTGCCTTTCTAAGGAATTACGCTATTTGAGCTCGTCCTTGAATCTACTATATTTTAGTCAATACATTTTTATACACTTACATACCACACAATTTATTTTCTTATAAGTTTCTAAGCTAAATCTAGCTTCCACATATAAAGGAAAATATGCATCCTTTGTCACTCTGGTCTTGACTTACTTCAATTAACATAATTTTTTCCAGGTCTTTCCACCAAAAAATTTTTAAAGGGTGAAAGTTTCTGATGAATATATGGTTGAGGGTATTCCTTTTTTTTCCTTTAAAAAGATTGGAAAGAAATAAGATTGTTTTGAAATGCAAATACCAATACCATCATCGTTTTTATTCTTATTTTTCCACTTCTATTTCTCCTGTTTCCCAACATTCTGTTTATAGTGCCTGTACCTCCTTAAAGGGAGTTTGCCCACATAAAGTTTCTCTGATTAAATGCCAGAAAGTCAGGTTTGCACTTCTGCCTTATCTTTAGTCTGAAGTCCTGACAATATAGGGAGGAAAGAGGTAGATTATAAATCAAAGTCTGAGAAAAATAACCTAATGCAAACCCAATTCAACACCAAAAGGAAGGTGGCTAGAATTAATCATGATCTTCACTTATCACTTTAAAACTCACCTACCCAAGATAATCATGCTATAATAAATAAAATACACATTTTATAAAAAGCTGATAATGCATATTGCTTATAATAATAATGTATTGGGTCATTTTCTTAGAATTACAGAGGGGGTATTTTGTCTTCTCCCCAATACCAGGATATAAATCGTCTATTTTTCACTTTGACATTGTTAAAGATACAGACATTTTCTTGATACCCCAGTTTATCCATGTAATAAGCACTGCAGGTTTTTTTTAAAGTAACTCTTCAGGAATATTACAAACTGCAAATAGAGGACAAGAAAATAGCCAGTTTGTGTTGTCTCTGAACATTCCCTTGTGTTTTTTGTACACCATCTATGTATGGGCCTAGGTCCTTTATGTTCTCAGTCTTAAGACACAGAGTTTACTTTTGGTCACAAAGCCCATAAAAAAGTAGACAAAAGTCCACCTAGACTGACGAAGAGAATCAGCTTCTGCTTCCAACTACTAGTTTGCATAAGACCCAATAGGTATTTCCAGGCATCTCAGAAAGTAACAAACATCTGTGAAGCCTTAATCAAGAGTCTAAAAAAAAATATCTAGGATGAGACTGGGGAGAAAAAGGAAGATGTGAGAAGAGAAGGGGCAGTGAATGGGGAAGGGAGTGGATACTGGATAGACTTTCCTAGACTTTCCTAGACTGTGGTTTAGGATTGCATACTGCAGGACTCTTGACTGGGAATCAAGTCCTAACAGGAGACGGAAGAAAATATTTGTCTGGAAACCTGCCAATCAGATTGTGAGTAAAGGCATGGAATTTCCAGGGAAATTAAGTAAAGCCTTTTCCAGTCACATAGATGTACATGTTAAACTGAAAAGATGGGATATCTAAGGAAGCCAGACTGAATTTTTGGAATTAAGTCAGGAAAAAAAACGAATAATGTTGTTGGATATTCTACATTTTTTTCCTAAATGCAATGGGAAGACATATTTAGCCATATGAATGATAAAAAACACTATTATTCTAGTCACTGCCCATACATTATTAAACTAATTGGTGTTGAATTTACAAATCTCATATAAGAAAAAATAAAAGTTCTCTGCAGCATTGACCACTAAATCAGTAGAAATTGTCCATATCATTTTGCCCTAATGCATTCATACATGTTCTATGTGTGCAAAATATATGAAATGTAAATAAAAACATTTGTGTGTAGTTTGGGTTTCAGATTATCTTTTAAAAACTCTGTAGAGTTCCTAATCCATTTAATATACAAATACAATTCACATCATTTGAGTTCTCTTAACTATTATGATCATCCTTAATTGTCAGGCTTTATATTTTAAAATAAAATTTTAACTACCCTGCGCTAAAATACTTTTGGATATTATAAATCCCTAATTAGAAGATTTTATAGCAGATTGTTGGTGGCTCATGCCTGTTATCCTACATTTTCAAGAGGCTGAGATCTGAGGACCAAGGTTTGAAACCAGGTCAGAGAGAAAAGTTCATGAGACTCATCTCCAATAAACTACTCAGAAAAAGCTGAAAATCAAATTGTTGCTCAAGTAGTAGAATACTAGCGTTGAGACAAAAACAACTCAGGGACAGTGCCCAGTCCCTGAGTTCAATCCCCAAGACCAGCACACACACATAAGAAAACCAGAATATTTTATGACATTTCCTTACCTATACTGTCTTTCTTCATTACAAATGCATTGCAATATTTGTCTCTAACTGTCAGCATTTGAAACACATAGTCTACACCAGGAATCAGATTTTCTAGTTTGACTGTGTTCTCATAAACAATTACTTCAGAGAGTTTGTTTTTTTCAGAGGTCATGCAATAGGATACCTAGATAAACAGAAAGAAAAAGGTTGGTCATATCATAGTTTAAAAAGATTAATACAGCACCAATTCTATATTATTCATAAATTGGTATTACAAGGTAGGAGTTGTGATCTGTTCTATTCTCAGCAATGAGTAACAGGCTAGTGAAGTTCACTTGGCAGTGGCTGTGCTAAAAGACCAATAATTTAAAATTGTTTTAAGGCATATGTGTGTGAGAGAAAGAGAAAGAGAGAGACAGGTATAAAATGTATATGTATGTGTGTTCATATTTCTCTCTATATATATAGGGCTGACATTATTATGACATTCTACACATACACACATATCCTATGTCTGTGATATACATATTGGTGTACTGTTGACATTACATATGTTATAAACATACTGATTTATATGTGCATATGTATAGATATGCTGCATAATGAATGAAACTACTTCTTATGGTCATCTAAAATTGTTAAATATTATATATATTTTTGAGATAGCTAATTCTTAAGGATGATACCTTTCACTCTCTTTTCCAAGTCTATGCAAGGAAAGAAGGAAATGGGAATCCGTGTAGTTTCATGGAGAATGTCATACTATTGCCCAGAGGGTGAGAAATTGGTGCTTTAGCACTTACCCTGCACTCCAAAAATAAATGAAGAAGCTCTCATATGTATCATCATTATAAATAAGAGTGCATGCTAATGAATTTAACATGCCCTAATTGGACATAGAGTTAAGGCAACAGACTTCTTTCTCAACCCCTATGCCTGCTGAAATTGATTTTTTTTTAAAAAGGAAAATGAATACAGGAAGAAAAACAAAGAAATCTATCTGTGGAATACTTTGTATATCTATCTTTGTTCTGACAATGATTCTAGTCTCCTGTGAGTCAAGTACAACCACAAAGAGTGGTCATATTTGAATATATGACAAACACTAGCCTCTATGCCAGGAGACCTCAGGAGCAAAAGGCAGTAGGATATACCACAAGAAAGAGGTGATAGGATTTTAAGAAGGTGAAGTCGGAGCCACGTCTGTCAAGTCAAGGAAGCAAGCATTGGAAATACTCCACAGGACCCTCCACAGGATCCAATCATGCACTTCAGGAGAGAGCTGGTGTTTACAGGACTCTTAAACATGTCATTGAAAGTCAGCCAGTGTTAGTCAGAGGCACACTAAAATTCTACAAATATGGATGCCTGGAAGGGATGAGTCACTTCAAACTTACGTTAAATGTATGAATTAATGTTTGCAAAATGTCACACATCATGCTAATTCATTTTTACATAACCCCAGCAAGGTCATCCAATTATCCATTAAGGCTTTGAGCTCAT